ATTATAGTAGAAAAAAATTGTTATAGTAGAAAAAATAATTATAGTAGAAAAAAATAATAGCAATGATAATGATAATACTGACTCTATCCACCCACAGAAAAGATGACTTAGGAGAACTCTCCTCGAACTTGGAGGGAACTTGGAGCGCCGTGGAGAGCTTGGAGGAGCTTTCCCAGCAGCAGCGGGACTTCCTCCAGAGGGACGACCGCAGAATCACCATCTGGTCGACCGGCTTCACGACCCTCACCCTCACGACGACCTCTTACATCGCGGGGACGACCGTCACTGCCACGGCTTACTGCCTCACGCCTGGTCTCACGGCGGGCTGCTTCGGGAAGTAGTGACGACTTGGGGCGACTTAGGATCGACTTCGGCAGCGAGGACGACTTGGCGGCGGGTCATCTTCTCTGGCCACGGCGACGGGTTGGGCACGACCCTCCGACGACGACCTCTCCCGACTCCAGCGGTCAGAAAACTTGCCTTTCTCTTCCTCTCTCTTCACAACGACTGCCGAACGACCCGCGGCGGAAGGTCGTCCAACCTGCCACTGAGTTGAGTCAAAAGACGCATCGCATTTTTCTTCGATTTTGTAGATTTAGTTATTGTGAATGTTGTTGTTGTTTGGACTATTCTTCCCATGCACGAGGCTCATCTTAATAAACATTTTTTGTTTGACAATTCAATTTCTTGAACAGCTCACGAGGGACAAAAGTTGCAAACAATGCAATTTGGTTTTGGTGCGATATGGTGAGATTGATTAATTATTCTAAATTATCTTATGCATTACCACCTAAGGACCTGCTTATTATTTTACGCCTGTTAAGTGCGTCGGAATTATAAAACGGCTATAATCATTTTATGTGTAAAAAAAATATGTGTAGACTTTAGGAATACATTTAGAGAGAGCTTATTATATGAAAACAATTTATCTTCTGTTTGAATATAGACTATTTCCCCCCAAAGAAACGAGGCACTCTATCTCCAATACAGTCTCTTCTTAAATAAATAAATAAATAAATAAAACTTTTCGGTATAGATCCAAGAAAAGAGGAAATAAGGTCTTTTTGGCCTGAGACCTTAGCACACTTTTCCACTTTCAGGCGACTGGCATTATCTCCCTTGGCATTCCTCACAAAGATGGGCATCACCCCGATCCCATAAGCTGTTCGTAATGCAGTCTTTTATGACCAAATCTCACCCTTATTAATACAACTTCTCGATTGGGTAGGACGCTGGTTTCCCAAAGTCTCCTGAAAAGTTCTCGCATCTTTGAATTAAGGGAATGTATCCAGTTTTTTCTCCCTTTGTCTCGAAGGCATTTTCTGGCGCTGGGTTTGAAGTCGTTGGGTGGGAGAAGGAAACGAGCATAAGTATGATACTTTTTAGCAGATATCTTAGACCTCTTGTCATTCTAACAAGAACTAACAGTATTTTTTTTTTTCAAACAATATTGTATCTCTCTTATCAGTGCTGTAAGGAAATCTCTGCTATTCAAACCGAAGAAGTGAAGGAATATCCCTAGCTAAATTTCTCACTTTGCTCTCAACTCCAAAGCCTATCCATTCCTGGAGTTTGAATTTCGGAGATTGCATAATGTTACATCTGCTTTTTGGTACCTAGAAGTGTAATGTAGAAATCTCTCCTTTTATATAAACGTCAGGTTTGTCTTTTTACTTTATTATTATTATTATTATTATTATTATTATCATTATTATTATTATTATTATTATTATATATATATATATATATATATATATATATATATATATATATATATATATTAGAGAAATTATCAAAAAAATGTTTTTAAACCGATTCCTCATCCTACTACCATAGACTTAGCTGTCCATAAAGAAAAGAGTCTCACTAATAGGAAACTGTGGAATCCTTTGCAGTTACGCATTGTATATCACGTACTCGCAGTGGAAAGATATATATGGTTTTCCAATGTTTGAGAAACTGTACTTGACAACCACTGTTTGGTTTCTGACAGCTTCTTCACAAACGTATTCAAAACATTCTAATATGTAAAGGTGTTCAGCAGATAGATATGACTCACAGCCATTATAAATTTTACTATGAATAAGCACTATTTTGGCCTTTATCTCTATTTTTTCTCCCTGCTTTGAATTGGTGAGGATCCAGAGGGCCCTATGAGCTGGCGAGCTGGACCCAAAGGTTGCCTATAATGGAATGGTCACCGGCAAGGGATGAAAGCAAATGGTTTCCATGTGCAAATCCTAAGAGATGGTCCACCTTTACCTAACCTGTCCCCTCTTTGGTCGGGGAAAACTCTCCAATGGATTTGTCATAATGCACACATAACGAACTGCGCTCCAGGTAATATATTCATTGAAACACCTTTAGCTATTACGTTCACAATCAAACCCTGACGTGTAATGGAAGGATATTATCACTTACATGGAGAACCTAATGCAATAAAAGCAACAGGACTACATTTTCCTAGACGAATGGCTTAATAGCTTTTCCAGCGACGAATCCTGTAGAGAGACATTACCTGGCAAACATAAGAAAAGATATTTTGCCAAAAAATCTCTTACGGCACAAACTCCTGATGTTGTGTCTCCAACATGGCAAAACTGTCCGAGGTCTTCTGATGTGATCCCCTAAGGAAGGAGAGCCAGAACTGTTGCTAGATGTGTGTTATCGTCTGCATACAATGTGTGACATAACACTCATGTTCTTACAAGACCTTTGAATGGTGTGATTTTTTTTATTCCTTTGTCTCCAAGGTAAGGGAGTCAGGGTTGGCATCACACTCCTGGGCTCTGTATAGGCTCGATTATACTCTGTGTCCACATAGCAGCATACCCTGATTAAGCTTCTTATCAGACACGACAGTAGTTATCTATTTTCTGTTATGAGAATTTTTTTTTATTTTTCCGACGCGGTGCTTACGTGCTTGTTTCGCATACAGTTTTTTTTTAAGTTAGCTAACAGAGGCGCTCAGAATCTAAATAGTTCTCTCGCACCTATCATGGGCAACAGACCACACAGCACTTCTGCAATTCAAGGAAAAACAGTCATCAGCAAACCCCATGGTGCTCAAAATGTTGGGTTCTGTATAGGATCTCTGCATTCTACCACCTCTATTTTCCAATGGTACCTTCACGAGTTTAATTTAGTATACGTAACTAGAAAGGATGCCACAATCCCCCTCGTACATAACCCATATACAGTCATTAAGTTCCATAGTAGAAAGAAGAACTTTTTTTTTTTTTAGAAATTCTTTCGAATTTTTTTCGAACTCCAAAAACTGCAAAGAAGAAGTAAAGAAGAAACATCTAAAACCTCTTTAAGTGCACTAGGGATCTACAACAATAATTAAGTTAATAAATCCGAAGTGAGCGTACGAGGCGTAGAAATTACATGAAGGAAGACAGCTGATAATATTCTTGCTTCATATTATCTTACTTCACCGCCCGAAGTGTTTGTCGTAATCATATGCTATTTATATATCGATCTATATTAGGAACCTTCCTTGTGATGCATTGAGAGTCTCGTAGTTCATTACAAGCTATCAAGAGTCCAAAAATAATAATAACAATGATAATAATGATACTACTACTATTACTACTACTATTACTACTACTACTACTACTAAACACAGAAGAAGAAGAAGAAAGGAAAAGAATGATAACAATGATGATGGTGATAATGACACTGATAATGATGACGAAAAGATGATGGCGATAACAAGAAGTTATTACAGTGATATCAACGCAGAAGAAAGTAACAAAATAGAGGACCCCCCCCCATGCGTTTTTATCTCATGAAGCCTATCCAAGAAAGAAATATATTCTTAATAAATGGAAAGAGCGGTGAATGTTTTTTTTCTCTTCTTTTTTTAATAAGCTGCGTGAGATTTGACACAACCTCGGTGGCTGGGAGGCAAGAAACATGGATGAGAATCGGATACGCAATGTTAAATCATGTGTGGTAGATAAGTGGTTGAGAAGTCCCCCTTTGTGAGAGATACCAATAGACAAAGACTGCTGTTCATGAAGTGTTGAAGTTGTACAGGTGTATTTATCTTCCGTTATACATTGAAACACTATATTAGAGGAAGCCAGTGTCTCTCACGAGCTTCGTAAATGAATCATGCAACCGAATTCATTCCCGAATTCCAACGGCATACTTTCCCAACAATGCAGGATCGATGGTTTATAGAATTACGGAATGTTCTCTTAATTTGCACCGACATGTGGGATTATTTGATATAACTCTTTATCAAAATAAAGTACCTACATGCATACACTGCTAATGGCCTCAACTTCTAACAGTGTTTTCTTCTTGTACTCCTCCTCCTTCTTCTCCTTCTTCTTCTTCTCATTCTTCTTCTCATTCTTTTTCATCATCTTCTTCTTCTTCTTCTTCATCTTCTTCATCATCTTCTTCTCATTTCTACTCTTTTTTCTTTTTCTCTTTCTTTCCCTATCTCCCGTTCCGACGCACAGACAGCGAAGCAAATGGTCTCTAAAGGTGAAACGACCGCACGACAGATCACCTATTCTAAGATTCCAACAGCTTGCTTCATTGCTTCGCCCACCGGAGACCAGCACTCAGCTCTCACCACGGTTTGGGAAGGATAAAGACTCAACAGGCGCTGCCTTCATTACGCCCATGAGGAAAATGACTTTATGGGTTGCATAGGAAGATTTTGATAGATTTCTCCTTCTCCATAATGGCAGTAATAATGATGATGATGAGGAGGAGGATAGGGATGATAATGATGATGATGAAGAATAATGATAATGATAATTGTAATGGTAATGATGATAATAATAATGATATAACAAACAGTAACGATAATGATGATAACAAGAATAATAGTAATAATTGAGGTGATATCACTGAACCATAAGTGACTTAATCAGATAGTCAAATCACAATTAAGATACTAACCCTATGATTACATCTTGAGACGTAGATATTTCTCCTGATATGTTTGCTTTTGTTTGTTAGAAGCAAAAAACCGGTTTGAGCAAAAGGCTTTATTACTTATATGTTCATCCATTATGTTTTTTTCTGATGTTTCATGTTTATTTTCCTATTATTTGTTGTTTTCATAAATTGTTAACGCTTTAGGAAAATATATATTACTAGTTTGGTTCTTGTCTTGTAGAAACCTAAAGCGTTTCATTTATTATTTTTATCATGGTTTATCCTTTCTTCTTTTATTTCTTGATATTGTAAATGTGAGAAAAAAATAATTGAGCACGAGCTTAAAATCAAGTAAAAAGTAATATTGATAATGATCCTTAAATAAGTTTATTAAGTGATGTAAAAGCGGCGGCGGAGAGTCCAAATATATATATGTATAATATAATTGATATCAAACAACAACATAACATTGACAGAGCATCAGGAAATCGTCGTGGGTCGTCCCGCTTAACACTGTGATGGACTGGACGGCCTTCCACGAGAGGTCGTTTCCAGCCCATCACCGTAATCAGCGGTAAAAAAAATACAAGTGGGGAGAAGGTCGTATTCTTAGTCGTTTTGGGGTTAGGCCAAAACGACCCGTCAGTGCATCCAATCTGACCCTATGAACTGGCAGGAAACTACGACTTCAAAAGAGAGAGAGTCGTCCCTGCGCCCGAGCGGTCAGACCGACACGCCGCCAGGTCATCCCGCCCTCCCTACTTCCCGAAGCAGCCCGCCGTGAGACCAGGCGTGAGGCAGTAAGCCGTGGCAGTGACGGTCGTCCCGGCGATGTAAGAGGTCGTCGTGAGAGTGAGGGTCGTGAAGCCGGTCGTCCAGATGGTGAACTTGCGGTCGTCCCTCTGGAGGAAGTCCCGCTGCTGCTGGGAAAGCTCCTCCAAGCTCTCAGCCGACCTGACGCTCCCCTCGAGGTCCAGGGCCGCTATGTCCTCGTCATCGCTGCGAAGGAAACAAGGCCTTGGGGTTAGCATGCTCTTGCTGCTGCTTTTTGTCTTCTGCCTCAGTGCCATTGTTATAACTGTTATTATCTCTGTCATTATCATTGGTCAGTATCAGTATCATTATTATATTTATGTTATTACCACTACTACTACTACTATTATTACCCTTAGTGGAACCGTGATTATTATTAATAATGATGATGATGATAATGTTAATGATAATATTAAAGATAATAATGATAATGAAGATAATAATAAGAATAATAAGAATAATATATCGTGATCATTGTCATCAACAATAGTATTATTCTTATATTTAGCATTTATCTTTATTATTACTACTATCCTCTTCATTATTTTTACACTTATTATCATCATCGTTATCATTATTTTTTTTAGTATCACCATGAATTATTTTTTAGTATATAAACCTGATAAGGTCTAGAGTAAATATCGATGTGTTAGTCAGTCATATATTAGTTATAGTAACTTGAATGGATATAGGTAGCTTCCTTTTTTTTAAATCCCTGCAAAAAAAAACGTCACAACAGAATAATGTTCAATTGTTCTTTTTCCCCCGGAGATATTTTCCTAATTTTTACATATATCTATACTATATTTATTGGTTTATTTACTTTATTCTTAAACTTATACGTCCGCTGTTTACGATATCTTAGGTAAATAAACCATAGAAGCTCCGCTCACTGATAAATAGACCACCGGACATCTTTGTTTACATCTGGGCATTTTTCTTGAGTAATCCTGGGAACGTGATATTTCTACGAACGTGAATGGGACCTTAATATAACATTAATCACGCTATAAAAATGGTTACACGATTTGCAGAGTTCCTACCTTGTCTACGTTGTCTTTATGTAGCAGCTTAGTATGACAAAAAAAAATGAAGAAAATGAGAAGACAGAAATATAGCTAGAACGTATATCAGTATATCAGCCATTGTTTGTCACGTGATCAGTAGGAGGAGCTTCGCCTCATCTCTTCACTGGTCATTTCCAAGTGTCGTCAAATTCTTAACAATTTTTATCTTGAACAAAATACTTCTGGTATCCTACGCACTGAACCCTATTGTTTTTGTTGGTGAAATAGTATAGAAAAAATATAGAGGAAAAGACGATAAAGAAAAAGAGAAGCAATATAGAAAAGGATAAAAAACAAAGGAACATGAGAGGAGAAAGAAGATGGAAAAAAACAAGTGTTAAACAATTAAAGAAGGAGAATAATGAATAAATGAGTAAATAAAGAAGCACCAAAGGGCGTGCCAAGAAGCGATTCCTCCAGCCAAAGGGGCAAGAGAGGCTCTCGACTCACATGGTCTCCAGTCTGCCCGCCCTCCTCTTCTTCCTCCTGCAGGCCGTGGCGGTGGCGAGGATCGAGAGGCAGGTGGAGAGCGCCGTCAGGGTGGAGGTCGTGAGGCGGGTCGTGGTCGTCGAGGTGTAGTACGCGAAGATCCTTTCTCCTCGGCCGGTATCGTCGTCGAGGGACTCATGCTCCTCCGAGGGGGACAGCTCTTTCGGGGGGGGGAACGGGTCGTTTGGCGGGGGCGGCGGATCTTTCGCGGGAGACTGGTCGTCGTTCGCGGTCACATCCTCGGCCGCGACTCCGAAGGCCACCACGACCAGCAGACACGCCACGACCACCGGCACGACTTTCATCTGCGGGACAAAACCTATCCTTAGAAGTACTCCCGACGGCCCTGGCTCTTGCGAAGGACCCCGGGAGGCGCCCTTTGGCTGCGGGGAAGAGGAAACACAACTCTCGCCGTAAGAGGGACGACTCGGGTGTTCTAACATGAATCAGCTGGAGTTCGATATGTTTTCTTCGCTCTTGTCAGTGACGCGAGAAAGAGGGGTGTGTTTATTTGTGTGCGTGTATTTGTTTGTTTGCATGTGTTTGTTTGTGTTTATGTGCGTGTGCATGGATATTTTTTGTATGTGTTTGTTTGTATGCGTGTATTTGTTTGTATGTGTTTGCTTGTGTGCGTGTAATTGTTTGTTTGTGTGCGTGTATTTGTTTGTTCACGTGTGTGTTTTGTACATAGTTTTCTTTGTTGTGTCTATGTTTGTGTGCGTGTGGGCTTGTGAGTGGATTTGTGTATGTGTGTGTTTGTATGTATTTGTTTGAGCTTGTGTCTGTATGTCTGTATGTACGTACTCTATTACACAGTATTAACAAAGAGAAATTAGCTATTTTCTTGGATTTCTACTTATAAAGGAGAGGCGTCGAATGCATATCAGTCTTTTCAGTAAAATTAGGAAAAGATTAATTTTTCTTGTTGTTAAAATTCTTAATTCACGAGATTTTTACGAGTAGTATATTTAATCAGTTCCCGGCATCTGAAGAAAATAAACACGTATATACTCACATAATAATTCTTTAGTTTAGTCCACCTCAAAAAACAACAACAATAATTAAATAAATAAAAACACAAGTAAAATATGAGAAATACCCCCCCTCAAAAAAAAAAAAAAAAAAAAAAATGTTTTGTGCCATGTCATGTGCCATGTTTTGTCCACATCATAACACTGTTTTCTTGAACCAATTCGTTTTATTTATTTGTATTTTTTTTTTGTTAAGCCAACCATTTTTGTTTCGTTTCGTCTCTTATTATTGAAGAAGGAATCTTTCTTTGCTTCTCTTTTCTTCTTCTTCCTCCTTTCTTCTTTATTTCATTCTTCTCTTCATAGAAAAAATAAATAAATATTTCTCAGTTACATTAACCAAGAAACCTCATTTTAATGTTTTATTCAACCATCAATCCTCCTCCTCTTCTTCTTTTCCTTTGTTCTTTTTTTCTTCTTCTTCTTTTCCTTCTCCTTGTTCTTTTTCTCTCTCTTCTTCTTTTCCTTCTTCTTTGGTTCTTTTTTCTGTTTCTTCTTCTTTTCCTTCTTGTTTTTTTTTCTTCTTCTTCTTCTCCTTCTTCTCGTTCTTTTTTCTCTTCTTCTTCTTTTTCTTCTTCTTGTTCTTTTTTTCTTCTTCTTCTTTTCTTTCTTGTTCTTGTTCTTTTTCTTCTTATCATTTATCTTCTCCTTGTTTTTGTTCTTTTTTTCTTCTTCTTCTTGTTCTTTTTCTTCTTCTTCTTCATTTTCTACTCCTTGTTCTTGTTATTTTTTTATATTTTTTTCCTTCTTCTTGTTTTTTTCTCCTTTTCTCCCTCTTGTTCTTGTTCTTTTCCTTCTTCTTCTTGTTTTCTTTTTTCTTCTTCTTCTTCTTTTCCTTCTTATTCTTGTTCTTTTTCTTCTTCTTTATCTCTATGGTTTTCTAGTTCTTCTTCTTCCTTCTTTTTCTTCTCCTCCTTCTCCTCCTCCTTCTCCTTCTCCTTCTCCTTCTGCGTCTTCCTCTTCCCCTCTCATTAAACCAAGAATCCCCCCCCCCCCCTCAAACACCAAAAAAAAAAAAAAAAAAAAAAAAAAAGCAGAATCACACACCCTTTTTTTCCTTCTTCCTCATTTTCCCTTTTTTTTCCTTCTTCCTCCTTTTCCCTTTTTCCTTTTTTTTCCGACCACAAGAGGCTTTCCCCGACCCTTCTGCACTGACCTTCGTATCGTTAAGAAATCCGGAGGAAGCCCCAAGTCACAGGGTTTATATTGCCTCTCCCTCTCCCTCGGCGCTTGAGGAAA